TAGAGATCATCACACACAAAGGATGAAGGTATGTTGTAAATAGTCTCTCTACTTGTATCAACTTGAGGTTTTTGGACTCATGTCTCGTCGTCCTGCCCCCCTCCCTCCCCCTATGTGTGTTTGCCTGAACCCGCCATTTTCTTGCGTTATGTTTGTTGTTGGCCGCCATCACACGACTATTTACCCCCCCGTCGTTTTTGGTTCCGTGCGGCTTGGCCTCAACTCGCTCGGCCGGGGGGTTGAACAACAATACCCCAACGCCACCGCCAACGACAACAACAACAACGACAATCACAACGAACAGAGCCAACAGGATGACGGCAGGGTCCTGTTGCGCAAGAGCTGCGATCTCTGCGTGCGGCTGAAGCGCGCGTGCGACGGGAAAAACCCGTGCCACCTCTGTCTTCGACGGTGAGAGCCGCGCTCTAAAAGACTGCTGCTGTACACAGATTTGTACTTGATTTTTTCATTTTGGTTGGTTGAGATTCGCTAAGACTTTAAAGAGTAAATAAAAAATCAAAAGTCAGCTTGTTTGGTCGAGCTTTGGAAACGTCGCTGATGGCAGCTGACAGTTGATTCACACCAACACATGCTTTGCTTCATCGTGCCTTGATGACACTACTACCGATAAGCCCACGCCGAGGGCGGTTCTTGTAGGATAATTTGGATGCATTGTCGAGATCCCCCTCGTACAGGGTACGGCGTCTGTCGAGAAGAGGATTTCCACACCGACGGCGAGAGCTGCGCGATAAGAAAGATGCGCTGGATGCAAGGGGAACAATCTCTCACAACGCCTGTCGAGGTGTCGAGATTCACGGCATGTGTGCGGGTAACGCACCCGGAGCACACCTCTGCTGCTGTACATGGTACAGCCCACAGCAGCAGCCCGGTGATGTATGGTGCTGCCCGTGTGTCCCGCCAGCGTGTCTCGCCAACTTCTACATACCTAGGCTGGCGTCTCTCTTGCCCGGACGGTACCCGTCAGCCAAGCATTTTCCTTTGGAAGTTTCATACCCGTACGCACAGCGCTTCTTCCCTGTCCCGACCCTTGACAATTCATTCCTGTATCCCCGCCAATGCTTCGTTTGCCGCCCTATGCCGAGTGGTGCCCTTGACAACTCATACCCGTACCCCCCTCCCCCCGCCCCTTGTTGTCCCCAGCCGCGAGACGTGCACACGGAGCGTGAAGCGGAAAAGCGGCCCAGCGAAGGGCACCAAGTACACCACCCGGCGCTCTCGGATGGAAGCGGGCATCGCGGAGCCTGCCAGCAGCAGCAGCAGCAAGAGCAGCAAGGCGAAAACGCCGCGCGCTAGTCAGGCCGGGGGGGGGGGGGGGGGTGGGGGCGGGGGCGGCGGCCGCGGCGGCTCCCCCAGAAGGAAGGGGGGAGGGGGGGCCGGGAACCGGGGGGCGAAAAAAAAAAAAGGGTCCTCCCGGAAAGGGAACCCCCACCCCGGCCCCGGGGTGGGGGCTCCAACCCCGAGGGGGGCCGGCAAGGCGCCCCCCCCCCCGGCAGGGCCAAAAAAAGAGAAAGAAGAGGGCCCG